TGGATACCGGTGTGAATAAAGGGGGCCCTCACTGAACATTTTTGACTAAACTTCCACATAAACTTTTATATATTAATGACTTTCACATAAACAATCACAACATATATAAAAGTCCCGCGATAGCACATGGCATCGGCGTACCTTCTTTGTGGACGGACGTTATCGGCACGTCCGTCCACTACCACGGCCACCACGAAACTCCCATTACACAATCAATAATTTTTGATTATCATACCTTTGAACAATGGAGTGAAACTCACCTCTTCTCCAAAAATAATATATCCTGGATAACAGACATACAAAGCTGTGTCCCCTGCTCTATGACCTGTAACAGTAACTTTTCCACCATGAATGCTTGGGGGATCCTGGCACCAGTCGAATAAACATAGTGGAGTAGAGTTTGTCCATTTTCCATCATCACCGCAAATCCTTACTTCGTGCCCGATGAGCGTATAATTTTCGTGACAGGTGTAAACAGCCTTGGATCCGTAAGTAGTTATCTGATTTTCAATGGATACTGATCCATGATCTAGACCGGGAAGATCGCCACAGTCTAGGTCTGTTGAAAAATAATAATTTTATATTTTTCGATATGGAGTTGGGAAGTTATAAGTATATAGTATAGTTATAAGTTATCACACATGCAAAATATGAATTTCTTCCAAAACTGGAGTTTAAGCCGGAGCTGAAAAACTTTAACAGTCTATTGAGTATGAAATTATTTCAACTGAACAATGATAAAATCTGGCTCCCTATACTTAATTGCTCTCAAATCAGGTCAAAAAGGTCAAAGGACAAAAAAAGACTCTGAAATTATTCTATTGGTAGTGAGTGTGGCTTCCTTTCTGCCAATTGGGTAGTACCTGCTTTGGGGACTATCAGAACACTTTGATAATCGCAGAAACCGCAGAAACGTCCCTACACCAAGGCCATCCAATCCATAAAATAGCTTCGACGCAATTACGTTAGGTTAGGTTAAGTCCAAAGTGAGTGTCCTCCACCGCAACCCGCAAGAGTTTATGGTGGCTCACACCTAATCACACTCTACCAAATGAACCAAGCTTCTTAACGAAGCCGATTATTTTGTATGATGAGTGGTCTTTCAGGTCAGATGGTAAGAGTACGGCTCTGCCGAAGTCTAAAAACCTGATTCAGTCACCAGCGGGGCAGGCACAAAGTATGTGCACTGTTGTTTCATCATTTTCCAAACAAAGGCGACACACACTGTATTGAGACAATCCGAGTCTCTGCATATGATGATTCAAATGACAGTGACCTGTAAGAAGGCCTGTTAGACATCGTAGTTCATCCCTACTGCAGTCCAACAACTGTTTGGTATCAAGCTTTGGAGGGTGAATAAACGCCTTGGAGTGAGCCAATCCTGGAAGATTCTGTCGGGAGTCCATAAATCTTCTTGACATCCAGGTGTTCAATATTTGTTTGGCAAAGCCTAAAACGATGCCAATGACAGGTTCTGGTCTGATGAAGCTACTTGTATCACCTTCCTTTGCAAGTGAGTCAGCAGCCTCATTGCCTTCCAGGCCAGTATGGCCAGGAATCCAGACCAGAGATAATATTTTAAGTCTTCCTATCAGGAGAGTCGTTTTTGGCAATTTACTACTAATTTAGATGTTGCTCGGTAAGAGCTAAGAGCTTCCAACGCCGCTTGACTGTCCGAGGATATTTTTATTGACTTGTGTATGAGGTTGGATTCTTCCAATCTCTCCGAACACAATTCAATAACGTAAATTTCCGCTTGAAATACAGTCGCAGGTTGATATCTCTGTCCTGGATCTGCGACTGAAAACACCTGCACCGGAACCGGAAGGTGTTTTTGATCCATCTGTGAACCAATAACTATCTGCTCTTAATATTTCCTTCTCCCGGAGGATCCAGTCCTCTCTACTCGGAAACAGTACTTTATAAGGCAGTTTGTAGTTAACAGTTGAAGGCATTAAGTCAGAGGTCATTTACAGAATGATGTGACTTCCAGTGTCAACCAACAGTCTGTTGTACTCTGCATTAAATTGATTTGTGCAATTGGCAATATGCACAAGTCCATATGCAGTCCATCTAGCCTCTCTCTCCAGAAAAATGTGTAGAGGAGGTAGATCTAGAAGGATCTCCATGGCCGCTGACGGTGTGGCACTGATGGCACCATTGAAGGCCAGACAAGCCTGTCTTTGTGAGCCAGAGAGCCTCACCTGGGCCGTTTTCTGTAAAGTCTTCGGCCACCAGGCAATTGCATCATAACTGATCATTGGTCTGACAATCATCACATAAATCCAATGGATTTGTTTGGGACCTAAACCCCAAGTTTTACCACATATCGTTCGATATGTTCATAGATACTGGCTTTGTGTAAAACTTTTTCAAGTGAGCGTTCCGGGTGAGTTTTTTATCAAGGACAATGGCAAGATATTTCACTTCCGTACCAAATGGAATGACCTCACCATTGATGACGCAATTAACTCCGTCAACTTGGCTGGTGAAACGCGCGTTGAGAAGAGTATTACACCTCTGGTGTTTGGGAAATGTTCTGGATTTATTCTACACCAGAGGTTCCAGTTCTACATTTTGATATTTCATTCGTCTAACAACCATGTTTAAGCGTCGAAACGACCTTTTTCTAAACTTTGTAACGAAGGCGGTTTGAAATATTACAGCTTTTTTTGCCTGTTTTGTAATTTGTCTTTTGAGTAATGAGATTTGATTTGTTTGAAGAGCAGACATCTTGTAGCACTTTCATATATTCTACGTTAGAACAAAACAAAAGCACTGAGCAGAAGTTGAGAAACAAAACAAAAACAAAAAAAAGTGAAATAGTGATAAGTGACAAGTACATATTTTCAAAATATTTTGATTGTTTGAAAATTCAGTGATGTATATTATGAAAAATGAATTATGGTAAATGAACCCAAACGTATTGAATCACAGGAAGGTGTTGAAGAATAAACATTTAATTAACTAATTAATACAGTTATGGGTTTTACAAAAACCTCGACACGAAGCCATACAATAGCTTCGTCAAGTGACAAGTACATATTTTCAAAATATTTTGATTGTTTGAAAATTCAGTGATGTTTATTATGAAAAATGAATTATGGTAAATGAACCCAAACGTATTGAATCACAGGAAGGTGTTGAAGAATAAACATTTAATTAACTAATTATCACTATAATGGGTTTTACAAAAACCTCGACACGAAGCCATACAATAGCTTCGTCAAGTATGCTTATGCTTGAGGAAGCTATTGTATAGCGAAACACAAGTCGCGGTTTTTGTAAAACCCTTTATAGTGGAAATCATACAATAAACTGTATTAATTGGTTTTAATATAGATTTTCATCAAGTATCGGCCAGTTCTATTCAATTAAACATTTAATTGAAAAATTTATCAAATTTTAAATTAAACACCAGTGATTCAGTAACAAATTGATTCTATACGTTTCTATACCCATTTTATACGTTTCAAAAATAATCCAATTTATCGTCAAAACGATGCCATCAGATGAATGAATGACGTTACCATTAGCTGTAATTTGTATCGAAGCTAAAAAATGAAAGTACATTGGGATGATTTGGTATTCAAATGAAATGTAAAATTGATTATACTTTTTGAATAATTCTTTCAATGATGTAATTTTTTGAAGATGATGTTATGTTTCTTCGTAGGTTTGACAATAATTGAGTACACCCTAAAGTTAAACTGAATTTATCCCACTGCTTCATTGACAATACAACACAAACAATTCAACTGAAACTTCAAACTAATACTTGAATGTCTATTGCCTTATGAGATCACTCCGTACGGCACTTTCAACTAGACTTCCTGATCTGCTTGTTGGTAGTGTTTATATATCGCGATGGAAGTCTCTGGAAGCTAATAGCAAAGTCGCTGGATGTCTCTCGAAGTGACGCTACATCTAAAACAATCGCAAAGCGCAAGTTGAATTAAGCGCGACCTTGACCAAGTCATAATCGATTGACGACGTCCAGCGGCGGCCAGTTTTATTTTGTTTAGGGAATGATTGACAACAATAAGATCGAAAATTAGCTGAAGTATAAGGAAGATTTCGGGAAACAAATATTAATAAAAAAATTTATGTAGTTTGAAACTACAAGTGGTATTTAGATTGTTTTTAATAAATTTATTATTATCACAATTTATTGCGGAAAGTACCTACTCTTGGAAAGTTTTGCAAACTTGAGAAATATAATTCACCGTCCAACTACTCCCACTTCTTCTCAATCGAAGTTAAAATATAAATGAAAGGTCTTGGATACTGGGAAGAGCAGAAATGTTATATCAATGAGAAGTATTAGAAGACCACTGATATTTACAGCTGAGAACAAATGAAGGTAATAAGGTCAACAAGTAAAGGTAATGAGGTAGTACCAAACAGTAGATTCATTTTCATTTATCAATGAGTAAATATAACCAGTTACACCTAGCTTGACTCCAACAGTACTATAAGTACTACATGGGCTCAAAATTCTTGGGCCTAACACATAGACGTTGCTAGACTTATTTCATTTACCGCTTTTTCAGTAAGTACTAACCTTCAAAAGGAAGCTGTTGAAATTTCACTCATAAGTTTGTGAGTTATTGTGCTGAGAGTGACACTACTTTTGTTATTTGCAAAACAGTGGATCAAAAACAATTTCGTGTTTTAATTTTACACTGCTTCTTGATGGTGAAAATACCATTCGAGCAAAGGAAATGGCTTGAAAAGTGTTATAAGAACTCCGCTCCATCAGAAACAACAATTAAACGTTGGTTTGCTGACTTCAAACATGGTCGTAGAGATACCGATGATGCAGAACGCAGTGGACGTCCAAATGAAGCAGGAACACCACACAAAAATTCACAAAATCGTTTCGAATGATCGAAAAGTGAAGTTGCGTGAGTTAGCTGACATTGTAAAGATGTTCAAAGAAGGTGTTGGCTTTATATTGCAAGAACATTTGATTGTGAGAAAGCTGTGTTCAAAGTTAGTGCTGCGCTAGTTCAGTGTTGACCAAAAACAAACACGTCTTGATGATTCTGAGCAGTGTTTGGCCATGTTTAAAGATAACGAACCCAGATTTCAGCGTCGATATGTGACAATTGATGAAACATGGATCCATCACTCCATCTGAGTGGAGAGCAACTGGTGGAACTCGTTCAAAGCGCCCGAAACCACAACAATCGTCTGGAAACGTTATGGCCTCCGTATTTTGGTATGTGCGTGGTGTAACATCAATTGACTATCTTGAGAAGGGCAATACCATTAACAGTGAATATTATATAGCATTACTGAAGCGTTTGAAGGCCGAAATTACAGAAAAACGACCCCATTGAAGAAAAAGCAAGTGCTCATTCATCAAGACAATCCACAGTGTTACGAATCAATGAAAACGATAGAAAAATTGCATGAAATAGGCTTTGGTTTGCTGCCGCATATACCGTATTCACCAGATTTGGCCCCCAGGGACTACTGGCTGTTCGCAGACCTCAGAAAAATGCTCTCTGGTGAGAAATGTCGCTGGAATGAAAAGGTTATTGCTGGAATTGAGGCCTATTTTTAGATAAAAGATAAAATCGTTCTACAAAAGTGTTATTGAAATATAAGTACGGCGCTGAAATGTTTGTGTGGCTCTTGATAGAAATTACGTTGATGAATAAAGTCTATTTTCAACAAAATGAACTTTTTTTCTGTTCAGGACGTGGTTGACAAAACAATAAAATTATATTATCTGATATAACTCAATATGAACGAAGGTGTGTGAAAAATATTTCAAAATAGATTGTAAGTAATCCTTCCACGGAGAAAAATTGAAAAACAGCATCATCGAATAAAAAAAAATATTGAAAATAAAATGATATTGAAAATTTCACATTACTGTACATTTGCAAGTTGGTGCAGCTCCGCTCCAGTATCCGTTTTTTCCACACTTTCTTTTATCATCTCCTACAAGTTTATGTCCCTCGGGGCATTTGTATTCAATAGTGGAGCCAATTTCATAATTTGAACCAACTACTGTCGTGTTGATCAGCTTGTCAGGACTCCCACAAGAGAAAGGGCCTGAAAGTTAGGGTTATCAACATGTCTCATTTTTCAGTTGGATTTGGGATCTCACCAGTTTGACATATCCAGTGCAAATAATCAAGATTACATCCCACATCGTTCCACAACCAGTGTTGTCCGCCATCTAAAACCACACAGTTTTGTTCTCCATTGTAATTGTTGGGTTGCTCTTTACCCCAGGCTGGACGTTGTACAACTGCGCCTAGAATTAGAAAAACATATTTTCAGTATCAATTCAGAAGGGAAATATATTTTTACGAGAGAAGATTTTTTCGGGAAAGAAAGGTTTTGGCTTTCTACTTCTCCATCTTCATTCGATAAAATTGAAGGAATCTTCCGAAGAAAGGAAAAAACCTATTTTTAAAACTGAAAAAAAGCTCTCTCAAAACAACTACACGATATACTTATACATAGAATTTCTTTAATGTCCCCCTCCCCTTTAATTTTTGGAACGAGTCAACTGAAAAAATTGAAATTTGGGATAATGAAATTAATGCATGAATACTTTATTTTGAGGTGAAATTGACAGATGAAACATTCAAGATGGCGACTGGGCGTCAGCTGGGAAAAAATATTGAATGGAAAGGAGGGGCTTGTGACACATCTTCTTGAAGCTTCTTTCAAATGCTTCACAACCCTAGAATATAATTTCAATATCTTCGACTACTACAAAATGGCGGAACTTTTAATAATTGCCTGAATACATTGACATTTAACTACATAGTTTTAGGTGTTAGGAATCACACGTTAAAAGGTAAGACCTCGTTAGTCCTTGGCTCGCACAAGTTTCTCAACATCTGAGAGTTGTCGTTCGTATGGGGGCGACAGCTGATTAATGGAAAAACAGATTTTTAACATATTTTTTAAGCTTGAAGTCAGTTCAAAAGATGCTCGAAATGGTTGCCTTGAACTTCGTGATAAATGAACAGCCTATCCGATATTTCACGCCGAACATTTTCGAACACAGTCACGTCCATATCTCTACAAATATTTATTATTCTCTGCCGTACATCCAATACTGAAGCAGGTTCAGTTTTGTACACCTTTTGCTTTAAATATCCCCATAACAAATAGACCAAAGGTGTCAGATCTGGGGAGATGGCTGGCTATTCCGTGGGACGTCGACGGCCAATCCAACGACCGGGAAAAGGAGTTTCCAAAATAATTTCTTACTTGTCTGGAGTAATGTGGTGGTGCTTCATCTTGTTGTAATACAATATCCATATCGAGTTCATTTGGCTTAGATAAAATAAATAAAATCATGTGGTTACCGAAATTCGATAAAATACACTCAAATACTAAAATGTAATGCAAAACGTAATGAAATGTGGAAAACGAAAAAGAACTATGGATGTTAATGAAGAAGATGTTCAAAATGTTCACCGCGAACGTCTTGGCAACATCCTAATCTCAATTAAAACTGTCTTTTAACATTATTTAAAATATCAGGCATGACCGACTTAATCGCAAGCGTTATTCGTTCTTTTAAGTCATTCAAATCTGAAGGCTTAGTTTTGTACACATTGCTCTTTACATATCCCCATAAAAATAAATCTAATGATGAAAGATCAGGTTGATCGCGCTGGCCATTCAATCGATTCTCGCCTCCCTATCCACCGATTGGGAAATGTTGTATCGAGGTATTGCCGGACTTGGTAATGTGATGATGCCAAATAGTTCCAAATAATTATCGCCATTTAAGTTGCCCTCAATGAAAAAGGGACTAATGATATGGTTTCCTACAATCCCTGTCCAAATATTAACCTTTTAAAGCTATTGCGTGTGTTTTTCTCTCATCCAGTGAGGATTTTCCGTTGACCAGCAGCGGCAACTTTGCCGATTGGCATGACTGTTAATAACTAAGTACACTCACCAGAAAACATAAAGTCATCTAATTGGATTATATTGTTATCCAACATTTCCATCATTTGCTAATAAAAATAAGTTCTTCTATTAAAATCGTCTTCCATGAGCTCCTGAGTAGGCATCATTTTATAGGGATGCATTTTATTTCCTTTTAATATGTTTATTATCGATGTATGGCTAATAACATTGAATGTAGTGGATGCCTGTCTACTCGATGTATGAGGGTTTTCCTCAAATTCAAGCGTCACATCTGATTTGAGTTCATCACTCATTGCATTGACAGCTGCTTTTTTTATCTGCTCCACATGACCAAGCTCGCGAAACTGATTCTCTATTTTGCTTATTGTTCCTTGAGATATGGGCGATAAATTAGGAAATGTCTTATGGAATAGGCGATCTACTTCCAGTTGTGTTCGGGTTTCACTCCGTAACCAATCAATTGTAAAACTGTTATTTTACGCATTTCCGTTAATCTAACCATTTGTCAGACTTGAAGTTAACGAACTTTAAACTTAAACTAAAATACTGACAACTATTGTTGTAACATACAAAACAAGTTGACAAGGCGTTCTAAACTAACGTTGCCATGGAAATTATTTACAGTTTTTTAAAGGATACCATATAAAAAGAACATTGCTATGGTTTTTGCTTATTTTCTTATTATCAATACCTCAACATGAAATAAGTTTTGAGTATATTGCAATAAGTTTTTAGTGTATTTTAACTAATTTCGGTAACCACATGATTTTAATTTATTTTATCTCAATTGTTGCAATAAAGTTGGAAGCGATAACATTTTTGAATAGAGAATGAAGAGACCTTTCAACCGATATATCACAAGCCTATACTTCTTAAAAAATTGGGGGTTGTACCTATCACTCGACGTGGGTTGAAGGTAGGAGTAGTATTATTCCGTTAAAGTATGTCAAATTATAATTTAAATTTGACGTGATTCGGGATTTTGTTGAAATATTGACCGTAACCAAAATAATGAATTCATTCCATTTGGCTTTTACACACTGTATAGTGACAATTACCTTCACATTTAGGTTCCGAATCAGACCATTCTCTGCTCTCAAGGCATATTCTCTTTGGTACTCCATTCAGTCGATAATTCTTATTGCAACTGTAGCTTATTACACTATTCAGATATGTCGTTTCATTAATGTATTGAACGTCCCCATTGGACACATCAGAAACTTTTCCACAATCGATATCTGAAATCAACTTGGTTATATTTCGGGAAATTATACTCCTTGAAGCATTATATACTTACATTCACAATTAGGAATGATCCCTGACCACTCTCCATCAGTGTTGCATACGTGTGTTGATTCGCCAATCAGGATATGACCGACCTCGCAATTGTATTCGATGGTAGAATGGACGTTGAAGTCATAACCCACAACGTAGCTTCCAGCAGGTACTTCTGGTTCTTCGCAGGTGATTACTGTAAAACATTATTGAAATACTTTGTCAAACTATTTTCCGGATTCATCGGCCGCAATCTGCAGGCCAGGCGTTTCGTCTAGTTGTCCTCACAGCAGATATTGCATAATTTGGTTTGGGCCTCGGGTTCTATGAGTGGCCAGATACGTGTGCAGTTGAGTGCTGGCAGCTAAACTTTACTAATGTTAATTATCGCATCCTTTTTATTGATAGTCCTGAGTTCCAGATGCGATAACTTAGAGACCTTCTCTGAGTACACCTTTCCTACTTCTGATTTATGGCTTTTTCCCAGCGTGGTTCTAATGTAGATTGATTCAGAGCTACAAAGGGTCAGGTAAACTCTCTGGGATTTTCTAGTACACTCCTTGTGAGACAAAATTATTCAATGAGCCAAGATGGATTGAGAGTAAAAGTTTCAACTTCTCTTTATTCAAACGACCCAATATACCGTCTTCATGTCTGTTCACTGGTACATCCAAACTTCAGTTGAGATGTTTCCGACGGAAATGGTCATAACATAGCCAAATTCGAGTGAACAATACGATCTAGGAAAAACAATGGAAAGGTAACTCCAAATAAGCCTGTCAATGGAAAAACTCTCCTGACCTATGTGAAGAATGTTACGGACCTGATCAGGAGGTTTCTTGAAATCGATAGTTAGGCCAACTGAAACCATCAGATACATTGAGTCAAATAAGGACCTCAAAGGGTCTTTAGCCACATCGGGGGTTTATCAGATAGCTGTGAATCAGTCTACACTGGAATAACGAGAAGAAGTATGAGTTATCGACTCTCTGAACATAATAGAAATTATTGCCTGGGTCATACTGCACTCAACTGCACACGTATCAGGTCAATTAATGCAATCAAAAGAAATGAAATGATGAAGAAGAAATGAAGACCCAAACCAATACTGCATGTATCTGCTGTACACTTTGTCCGTTTCCTCATCGACTTTGACAATGTCTAAAGACGAAACGAAAACCTGAAGACCACGGTCAACAAACACGCAAAATATCTCCAGCTATGAAAGTTCATACTCTTATAAACCTAATTAAACATCGGCACGAGTAGATAGGCTATGAGAGTTCTGATCCATCAACCGCTTTATACGCCATCTATGGAATTTTTTCAGAACTACATCAAATCATTATTGCTAAACTCACAACTTACATTCGCAAGATGGGGCGTCTGACGACCACTTTCCCTCTCTGTTGCACCTCAGTGTTCTTTGACCATTCATCCAGTAATCTGGTGCACATGTGTATTCGGCTATGCTACCAACGCTGGTTGTGTCGTTGATGAGAGCATATCGCCCATTATCAATGTTGGGGGGAGAGCCACAATCGACGTATTTACACGTTGGTGCCTTTCCCGACCATTCTCCTCCAAGGTGGCAGGAAATAACCTAAAAAACGAATGAAATTATTTGTGTGCTAAGGGAATGAAGAATACGATCATGGTCCAGCTTACTTCACGGAGTCTCACATGTCAAGAGTAAGGACTATTTATTTTTTACCAAAACAAGCATGAAGGCGATCCCGAGCTCGCGACACATGGAAGATGAGAGGAGAGCCGTATCATCGGCATAGAGAGACACCTTCAGACGCTCGGACCTCGGAGGGTGGCTGGTGTAAAACGAGTATAGCGTGGGAGAGAGCACAGCTTCCTGTGTCACTCCAGCGAGGATCTCCCTGTTGTCAAACAGGGAGCCCTCTAACCTGAAATGTTCTGTCTTTCAGGAAAGATCCAATCCACCGGATCAGGCCCCGAGGCAGATCAAACGCGACTAATTTGTGAAGAAGGCCTTCGTGCTATACGCGGTCAAAGGCCTTTGAAATGTCTAAGAGGACAACGTGAACTTTCAATTATTGTTCAGCTCTTCGATGGTGTTTTTGACCAGTCTCAGAGCCTGTAACTCGGTGAAGTGCTCTCTCGTGAAGCCGAATTGTTTGTTGGGCAGAACATTTCGGTTCTCAACTTCTTCGTTGAGCCTTTGCAGGATGATTCTTCCAGCCAGCTTAGTCGTCGACGAAAGAAGACTGATCGGGCGATAGTTTTGCGGGAACAGCAGGTTCTGATCCTGTTTCGAGATCATGACGACGATCGTATGCTTCCACCTTCTGGGGAAGTATCTGAGAGCCAACGGACTGTTTATGATATTCAATAGGTTTACAACGCAGTTGCACAAATGCATTGCAGGACTCAACTCTCCTTAAAGGACAAGCCTGAGTGAGTAAGGACGCTGACATCTTCGCTCACGAAGACACCATCTATAGGAACGACAAAGAACTCAATCCTTGATTATCAACGGTAAACAGGACTGTCTTATTCACTCAGGCTTGTTTTTAAGGACAGTTGAGCCCATAAATGCATGTGTGGTTCAGCCTAGTACCACTGAAACATCGAAATTTAGAAAGCTCTTCCTACAATTGACAAACTTGCATGTATACATACGGGTACAAACTGGAACCGATCCGCTCCAAGTGCCCTTCTGCAAACAAACTCTGGTGTCGTTTCCAATCAAGTTGTGACCTCTTGGGCAGTGATAGCGTGCTATTCCACCAATGCGGAGTGCATTCACAGAGAAAGTAATACCTTTCACGGTTTCAGGAGTTTTACATTGGATTTCTGAAAGGAAGACATGTGTATTAGAATGATTAGAAATGTAAGATGGTTAGTCAGCGAGTTTCTCACAAGAAATCCTCGAAATGGTACTTGGGAGTTTTCCAACCAGTAAGAGATTTCTGACTGATGAGAAAGAATATTGTTGTAAACCATCCCCTAAAAAAATAATACCGGCCGCCGCTGGTCGTCATAAGTCAATTGTGACGTGCTCAACTCGACGTGCGCTCGCGGCCGTTCTAGATCCGGCGTTGCTTCGAGAATAATGCTACCGGCTTTGATGGAATTCCGGCGAATATTTTACCACCTTCGAGGCCCTTCGATTGACAATATATAAGCGCTACCTACGAGCGATCTAACAAGGCGATTGACCAGAGGTTCTCAAACATATTTTGTTTACCGCCCACTTCGAGAATTAATTATTTTCTAGCGCCCCCCCAATTTTTTTTTTATTTACTACATCTTAAGAGTCACAATCGCAGTCATTATTTTAATAATTAAATTATGTGTGTCATGTGAAAATAAGACTTTCTGATGAGGGTAATGTAAAACACCATTTTGTAATATTAGGAAAACTTTTATTCATGTTATTCTAACGAAATCATGGGG